CCTAGTTACTTTAAGCACAGTATGATGCTCTAAGTGTTTAAAAGTGTGCTCAGTGTTTAAATAACAGTGCAGAGGGTGGAGGGACTTGTGGAAAACTGTAACCGTTAACACTGTCAGAAGAGTTACAAGTAATATTAACCCTACTGTTGATGTGCATGCTGTTACTGCGTGAATTGTTTGGAGAATGGTAATGGAAGTAATACCAGTTTAACATCATCTGTGCTGCAGGCTTTAGTATGACTGTACTAATAAAACAAGTATTTCTGTGAGCAAATGAAGCCTTCTTTCCTGCAGATTTGAACATGAAGGTTGTTAGGTTTTAGACCAAGTTGTATTAAAACAGCACAAGCAGCTCACATTCCTATGTAACAGCAGAGTCTCCTTGAGAAAGATTGACCCTGTGGATTATATTCTTTAATGTCTGCCTACCACCCGCAAGAATTCTAGTTTTACTGAGGTTTAGGGCATTTGTAACCTCTTCTGTCCTTTGTGAAACCTTTAACATATATTAAGTCTAAAAGACTGCTGTCCTGCAGTCCTTGTTCTTTAGCAGAGAGATTAAGGGGATCTCTATATAGTCAGATTAATTTAGCAGAATTATAAGACGTTGGTATTGTGACTCTTCTGTTGAATTTGAATGGAATTGTTCACTACTCAAGACCTGTTATAAAATGGGGACAGATACAGCTGCGTGAGTTTTGTTCTCTAGGAAGGGTGAGAGAAATTAAATTAAAAACTGTATAGAATTGTATAGTGAGCTGTGCGAAACAGATGTAGTATTCTTCCTTATCAGTGCTTTGTTCTTGTTTATCTTTCAAAGGTTTAAATAACTGCATGGTTATCGTGTGTGGGTAGAGGGGAGGAATCTGTCTGATAGGCACTGTGAATTTAAGTTTTTTCCTGTCTGTTTATGATTTCAGCTTTCTTTGTGCATAGCTTCTCTTTTTTTTGTGGTTTTAGTTGCTTTTTTTTAGTTGCAGTGCAACAAAAAAATTTCATATTATGCAGTATAATAGTGGTAGAGATCTTTTCTGAATTTTCAGGTGCTGCAGGCCCACGACTATTTACAATACACCAGATCGATGCCAGCACTAATAATTTGCCGAAAGCTCATACCTGGTAAGACTTTTTTTCTTCCCTTCCTTTTCTGACATAATACATGCTATCCATTACAGAGTAGAAAGGTGTGAAGACTAGAGATTGCTTTTATTTATATGAAGTTCTCTTGGCCTTGTTAGGCATTGCTTTGTCATTGTTTCAAGTACATTAAATGGAGTGTAACAGAACTTTGCTAGGTGATGCCTGAAGTTCGGGAAGCTGAAATTTTTCTGCCTTCTATCCACAGCTTTAATCGAATAGACATTCCTCCTTACGAAAGCTATGACAAGCTATACGAGAAGCTGCTAACTGCCATTGAAGAAACATGTGGGTTTGCTGTGGAATGACCCTTCACAGGCTTACCTGAGACTCTATTTATATTCCTGTCAGCCAGAAAGCCCTTCCCTCAGCCAAGACTCAAGAAATGCTTGAAATACAGGAAACTTTCCCTTTTCTACACTAGGACACTGGGAGGGAAAGGACAACTTTGGAATTTATTTTTTTTTTATTTCAAGAAAATAGGTTCTGTGGTTCCTGCCATAGGATCATTCAGCTGCTATTAAAAACTAATATCTTGAACATACAGAATGCTGACTTTTCCTACATTTCAACAGTTAAGCAGTATTCTATTCTTAAAGACTACTACTATTTTTGTAAAAGGTAATCTATTATATTTGCCTACCTGATTTCTATTCTCAGATACCAAGACACAACTTCAACAGTCGGTACAAGTCATGTTTCAGCCTGTTTTAAATGTATGATACTGAACAGCATCTATACCTGTTATTTTTGGAAAAAAATATTTTGGATTATTCTAACTTTGCATAAAATTGGCTGAAAGAATCATTAATATTTTTAATTCAAGCCACTTACGTGTTAACTGCATTTTCTTATAGTAAAACATTATATTCTGCAATGTAAATTCAACGTAAATGTTACCACAGGGGGCTTTTTTATATTTTTCAAGCATGAATTACAAATACGATGTTTTGGGGTCCTATTTATATCCCTTGTCAGATTCTTTAAACAAAATTTCTAGTGTGAGTGACACAGACTGTATTTGGTACAGTACTTGTGTTAATATGTGGAATAGACCTTTTTTAATGAACAGTAGATGTTTTGATTTTTTTTAAAACAGCATTTTTCTAACAAGTCTGTCAAGAGTATTTTTTGTTGCTTTAGACTTGAAATTTAAACACTGCATTTTACAACTTTTTAAGCATGCTGATGAGGTGATACCTGACAGCAGAAGCCTGTCAGCAGTTTGTTTCAGAACCCATCCTGTCCAGTCAACCAAAGTTTGTTTGAATGCAGCCAAATTGTGTTATATATTTGTTGATGCTAAAGATTTATCAGGTAAAACATGTTGTAATCTTTGTCTAGCTGCTCATGACACATGGGTTTAAGTTACAACTAAGGAAAATGGTGTATTAACTGAATTATGTGTAATGTGCTTTGAAAATGAGGTTTTAAAAGCACATAATTTATTGATTGTAGGGATGGAAGTAAGTATATATATGAATTATAACATGGGTTGATCTCTTCAAAGGGGAATAAAATGCACTACCGGTAGAGGGAACTGAACTTTGAAGTTAGTTTGGGAATTCTCAGTTAAGATCTGTACGATCTGCTCGTGGTGTGTAGATAGATCAGTCTGCTTAGGAGATGGTGGCATTCTTCTCTCAGCAGTGAGAGTATTTGGAGTAAGTAGCGGTTTTTTCCCAATCAGTGTTGTGGGTTTTTTAACTTAGGTTACAATTAATCATCCAATCTGCACTATTTTTACACTGCCAATGAGAAGAAAGTCAAAGGTATTGAAAATGCTAAAAGAATGGGGTGTAAACAGCTGTTCCGTTTTTGCAGTGTAAGTCAGTCACGCAGTGAACTAGCTAATTCTGTCTGTTCTATGGAGCTTGAACTTCATTTTGTTCTGCCAAATCTGACTGCCACAGTGAGTAAACTACTACTGGATGTTGTATATTAGAATAGTGGGCAATGGACTGCTTCTGCAGAATTGTGGTAAGAATCTGGTGAGCCAAATCCACATGTTCATTTGATTATTTTTTTTTTTGTACAGATGTTGCTGGGAGGCTTTTCTAGGAGACTTGCTTCCCATTTTGGGCTGGCTGCAGACTTGCTTTGATAGCCAGGGTTGAAATAGATCAGACCCTTTTTTTCTTCATTTCAAGGGACTGTTGCACTCGTAAAATGGCTGGTACCTTTGCACCTACAGTTGGGATCCCTAATTCATGGCTCTCAGGTAATACTGTTACCAGAGAAGCTACCACTACATCTGTCCAGGTTGCCTGGGAGAGAAAAGTAGGTTGCTGCCCACTGTGTTTCTTGCTCAGTACTGCTGCCCGTGGTTGGGACCACTGCTTTAGACACTCCCAAAGACCTCTTCTCACCCCCCCCTGCAAGTTTTGAGGTATGATGTGAATTACTATTTGCAGAGACTTTACAGAGACAAGTTCTTTTGACCACTGTTCAGAGTAGATACTCCAGTGTTGTATAAGTGATTTTTTTTTTTTTTTTTTTTTTTTTCCCTCCCCTGCTCTTGCTTAGGCTATGCCAAGAATGGTGTGCTGGTCATAAAACATGAAAAATGTAAAATCCAGTTTGATCCAACTTTTGGGAGAAGTCAGGACTCTTAGGTGATTCAAAGGGGAAGGCACACTGCTGTTCCCTTTGCACCACACAGCTCACCTCAGCACTAAAGACTGTCTCTGTAGTGTCTCCTAAGCACATCACCTTTACCCACCTCCCTGGAACCTTCCCCCTGTCAGCCTACTTAGGCTGGTGAGTTTATTAAATGCATATTTATGGCCACCTTTATGTCATAAAAGCATTTTTGAGGAGGGAGGAGATGAGCTCTGCAGAATATAGGCTCTAGATCAGCTGATAAATACCATTCATTTTCACAGCAGCCTTAACAGTACAACTGTTTGTTCTACCAAACATTGTGGTATGGCATAGAGAATTTTAACTGCCACAGATAAATATTGTAAATTTAATATATTATAGGCAAAACTAGACAAATCTACATTTGACTTCCCATAGCTGACAGATGAGGATGAATATACCAAGTATTTTGAGTGCCTTTCTACCTTCATAATGACTGAGAGCTTTAACTAAAGCACCTCATCACATAATCAGATGTTTATCTGAATATGTTAAAGGATTGATTCCTTAGCAAAATTTTGTTTCAAGATCATGTCAGCTACTTTCCCCTCAAAGGTGCTAAGCCTAATATTGCATTTTAACCTTGGACTTTCACCCCATGATTAATGTGAATATTTATTTCAATGTGTCCCTCTTACTGGGTTTTACTTTATCCAGTCTTTAGTTGTTTTAGAGAGATGTCACATCATGGTTTTATGCTGTTGCTTTTCATTATGAATGTTTAATTATGAACAATGACTTTTGTAGATTTCAAATATACAGTACACAGTTGAGTTTCAGAGGATTTAATTTCTCGGTGTAAAGAGTTTTGTAATGGTGCTTTGTACAGTATGTATTCTAAATTTTTTTTTTTTTTTTTGCACATAGTTTCAGTTTCCCAAAACTGATTTATTTGTACCAAATTTGTGTTGTACTAAAGTCCAGAGCACACAAGCCGTTTTTAAATTCTTGTTCTACAACACTACATCTGTATTGAACTTCTGGTGCGTTTAAACTGGCTGCATTGATGGAAGTAAAAGCTTTGCTTCTATATCATAAGTATGCATCATACAGCTTAATGTAGCATGCTCCAATTGCTTCAGATTTTAAACAGCACCATACAGTTAACAGGTGCCATCTGTTGTACTTTACACTATGTAGTAGGTTTCTGGCTCTGCCACATCCTCAGAGCTTTGTCTGTAGTTGTAATTAGTTTATACAAGTGTAATTACTCCTCCACAAACTGACAGTTCTTAGTTTATCTTTTCCATTGTATTTATTACAGAGTGTTTTAGCATTGGTATCATTGTATTTTCACCCAGCTGTTACATGAGCTTTAACAAAAAAAAAAAAAAATCTGTATAAAATGGTTTTTAAGTACTTAATGTATGTACCCATGCAGAAGTTGAGCAATAAATTGTATGCTGTTTGCACTGTCACAGCAGCAATGGTTTTAAAAGTTTTAACTTCTTCTTAATTAAATATTTACTTTAACAGTAATATTTTTAAGTAACTCAACTTTGTTTCTGGAGAAAATACTTAAAACTTGGGTGTCTTTATACATGCTGTTACATACAGTAAGGATTGTGCTACATGTTCTAGTCAAACCAAAAAGGCCTTACTTTTGGCTGTCGTGTAGTGGTGTACACATCCTGGCAAGGACTTTATCTTGGCATTGGCAAACAGCTGTCTCCTCTCAAAATTCAGCCAAGCTAAACCATCTTCCTTAAGGGAAGAAAAAAGGTAAATAAATTTGGTAAATATTTGTTAAATTTTATCAACTTAGCTGGTAAACATTGTCCCTTAGCTATAGATGTCAAATTAACCTGGCTCTTAACCCTTTCCAGGAGGCTGCTATAAAAATCAGGGCCTGGGCTTGTTTTTGTGGAGGTGTTCTGTTGTGTGTGTTGGGTTTGGTTTGGTTTTTTTTTTTTTATCATGCTCTAACTGCTTGCTGGTTTATTTAATCTGTCAAGGAAGCATCTCTAGCTGCTGGGGGCTTTTTTTTCTACTTAGCACTTTTTTCTTCCCCATGGATGAATCATAATTCACTGAGTGTGTTGTTAGTTTCATAAGAGACACCATCTCAGAGCAAGCTTTTAACTACTGTGTATACAATGCGCTTAATTTCAGAGTTTTTATGTCACTTCTCACACATGCAACTTCAAGCATGAACTCTTACACTAGAGCCTGTTTAAAATTACACTTTACTTCCTCCTCATTACCAAGATATATTCTTCTCTCCTTGACAAAAAATAGTTTATCGGTAATGGGCTTCACTAATTATCAGTGTGGTTTTACGTAATCAGTTCTCAGTTTAAGTATTCATCCTTCTGTGTTTACATCTCATAGGGCTCATAATGCATGGCTGCTAAAATTTGAATTTTCTACCAAACCATGTCCTGTTTAAAGCACATGATGATTCTACAACAATAGGTGTAGTGCCTAGTGTCAGCTCCTACTCTGCCTAGAAGCAAACCTTACAACTTGAAGTAAGATGAAAGCTAAATGTTAGAGTATTTAATTGCTATTTACTCTATCTTGCACACTGATTTAATCTGCTTTTCCCCAAAAAACTAAACAGGGTCCTAAATACAAATACCGTTACCAAACTTTTGTCCAAATAATCTGTTTCTATGAACAAACAGGTTTGTTAATGCTATATACAAATCAATAAGCAATACTATGACTCCCTTCTGAAATAGATCCATTGGAACAAAACTCTGCTCATTTACACATGGGCTTATCTAGTTCTGAAAACCTGGCGTGAAATCCAACAGTTGAAATACCTACAGATACACCTATAGAGCATGTATCTACTGGTACACCCCTGTTGAAAATAATTAGGAATGCTGTCCACAGGTCCTTCCCACGTTTTAGTTCTTGCAGAAACTTAGTATTTCACTGCTTTAGAAGAATTTTCACTGTTGTCTGTTTCAAACTACTTTTTCTAATACAAGTGTAGCATAGGAAGTAGTATTTTATATGCTTTGCCATTAACAAGCCAGCAACACCAAAACTGCAAACAGAATTGTATAGAATGAGTAGCTCTGCCTTGCTTTATATATTAAAATTACTGATTTTAAGTCATCTTTATTGCAGGCATTCTCTAACTTGCCCTTTCACAGGAAACTTGAACCGCTGATGATCTTTAAAAGATCATCTTGCTCTTTGTGAGCTTTCCAATCCAGTAATTTCTGGCTAGTGATCTTAGTGGGGCTTTTCAACTCCAGCAACAACAGAACCAGCACAGGCATAGAGGAAGCTTAGCATTCAACTGTTCCACTAAGATAACCTCATTAAAGTACACTGACTTCATCCTACTTCCTTTGTGTGGAACTCAACATTATCTCAGCCTTGCTAAGAAGGAAGAATGTAGTTCAAAAACTTTATTGGTGATCATAAAAGTACCACAGAGATCCCAGCAGCTACACCTCTGACGTGTCAAAATGACAGACCAGATATTTTAGAGAAAAACAGCCACACATCATCTTCCTGTTACAGCAGCTCTCAAAGATTCTCATCACCTTAGGCAGAGAACTGCAGTGATCATTACCGTAAGTCTTAGAAGAAATGGCTTTTACTATACTGAAAGGAAGCCATCTGAAGTCTAGATTTCAGTCTGTCTGCTTCTAGTTCTTGAAAAAAGATATCATCATCACTTTGCATTATTGCTGCTTGCAGTTGCTGTATTTCCTTTTCCATCCTTGATCTCAATTCTCTTTTTGTTTTCTGTAGCATCTAAAGAAAATACAGCCATTAGCCACAGCTGGTAAAAAAGATGACATTTACGCAAAATTAAAAATACTTACTTGTGCTTGTGCTTTCTCTCTGGTTTGGATTTCTTGGTGTTCTTGAGATAAAGCTTCTGCTAGCATGGAAAACTAAGAATAACAGGTGTTTGAGTTGAACCAATTAAAGAAGGAAGGACTTCTAATGTAAAAAATATTTACTGTCTCTGATGCAGATTAAGCTTTACCTGATTTTTGTAATAGTTCTCCATAGACTCCAGCTCATTTTGATGCTTTTTCCTTTGCTCAGCACGCTTCTCTTGGGCGTACGCTCTCAGGTCCTTCAGTCTTTGCTTCTGAATTTCTAAGCCTTCTTCAAATAAGTTTTTAAATATCTGCCAACAATTAAAAGCAGCAAACCTAAAAGTTTCCCAGAAACTTTTAAGTATACATTTACATGTCTTAGCTGCTTTATTTCCTGACAGAATGGTGATCCCATCAAGATTGGTCATTGACTGTGAAAAGTTACCTAGTAATGGTGGTGCAGAGACAGTTGAGCTGTATTTGTATTACTCATTTAACTGAGATTCTGATACCTTTTTCATGTCAGTTTCGTCCTATGACTACAAAAGGGGCTAGTTCAGCTAATGTATGTCACATCTTTAAAATCACTTCAGACAAGCTGACAGTGCAAGCCAGTCTTTGAACACACACACACACACACACACACACACACTGTGATTTATTGCCAATAGCAGGAAATCCAGCCTGCCTGTAATCAGGCTTTCCATTTACACAAAAACACATTTACCAACTAGAGTGCAGCTTGAGGCAACAGTTCTGAAATCACTAATAGTGGATTATGCACCGTGCTTCTAGTCTTTTATCTTAAAAGGTGAGAATTGTGTATCTACTTTTGGAAAGTCAAGTAACTCTACTTGCTTTCCTTAGCTCTGATGTCCAGCCCTAGTGAGAGATCTTATCTGTCAAAAAATACACTTTGTTTAGCAAACATAACTGAATAACAAAACTGTCTTTTTGATCAGTTTCCTTAACTGAAGTTTTAGATTGTTTTCTTTGGATAGTAACTATAGGAACAACTTCTTAATACTACTGTTTCTGAAAACTCATTTCCCCAATTTCTCATGTTACCAGTACTGTTTTTCCATGCTGATACTTCATCCTTTCTCTCCTTCTCTTAACCCCATAAAGCATCCTTTATTGTTTTACAGTTGTTTGCCCTAAACTGTTTCAGTGTTTCCAAAGAAGGAACCTTTTTATATGCAGCCTCGCCTGACCAACCATTTAATCCTGGCTCCTATGCTGTTCACTTGTCTTGCGCTCTGTCCACTTCTACCATTCATTATTTGAACTACTGGACTATGGGTCCTCAGCACTGGGGTGCAAACAAAAAAATTCCACACTTGCAGAGCAAGATGTCTTGTACTTACCCTTTCTTCTCGTGTCCTAGCCCGCATCATCTTGGCACGCAACTGAACCCGGTAATCTTCATAATATTTCCTGGCTCGAGCAACCTGCTGGCGTTTCTCTCTCACTTTATTCTGAGCCCATTTCTGTCGGCAGATACGTTGCTTAAATTCTTGCTAAATGGAGAACAGTAGCTGTAAGACCACTAGGCTTCCAACAGATAGTGTTGCAGTCAAAACTTTATTAATCATTACTAAATAAATAGGGTCCTTTACTATGGACCTTCTCCCTACCCTAATTTTACACTGCATTTATGGTTTAAAGCTTTAGGCACCACTGATTTAGCAAAGCGGTACGATCAAGAGCACTATGTAATTAAGGAGTCCACATTGCCATGGTAGCTGGCGTTTTTACCAGCAACACCAGGAGCCTGAAGTTTCTCCTCCTTGTACATTCTTAGAATTTGTTTGCACTTTTAAAGCAACAAGGCAGTGTAATAATAATATTCCATTCCTATGACCTCAGTAGTTATACAACAAACAGATGACATGACATTTGAGACCACAGCTACTTAAGAGGCATAAAATTGTTGTAAGATAAAAAAGCCACTTTCATGGACCTGGGAACATGCATTCTAGCTAGCTTAACATGAAATTTTTGTATTATGTAACAAATATCCTTCATAGAACATACCAGTCTCTTGCTATGGTCTTGATTTTTTTTAATAATTGCAATGAGTTGCTCATGCTTCTTCAGGGCTTGTTGAACCTGGAGGTTTAAAAAAAAGCTAATTTACTTCCATCATGGTGCAGGACAGGCAGTTGTGTGTAGGAGTTTTGAACATTGCCCCTCTGCTATGTTTAGTTTTTTAAGTTGAGAGTTACCATGTATAAGTTAATCAACTTTTATATCTCATAACTAATTTTTGAACACTGCTCAAAAAAGCACTCAAAACTACAAAATGCTTTTTAAAAAGCAATAGCAATCCTATGCAGTAGTAGATAAACTGGTATAAAAAATGAACGTTATATTCAAGTGGCTGATAAAAAGTTGAACCCACATGTTTATATATGTACATCCCTATGAAAGGATGTATATCTGAGCTGGGTTAGTTAAATACTGTGCTTTGGATGTGCCTGTATGATACATATGCTGCATACAAAGAGTCAGGATGATTTTACTGTTATTTTATTATGCAGTACAAACTGATGACTAGTAACAATTCTGTCCGAGCTACTATCCCTGCTGACCCTTAGAAGGTAAGAAAATAAATGCTCACTTCATTTTGGAGTTTTGGTCTAGTTATGCCAGAAGCTGCCTTAAGTTGTTCAGTATGTGCAAGCTGCTGCTGCCACATTTTATTCATAGTATGGTGGGAAATATGCAGGTGGGGAAACTCTTCCAGTAGCTGAAATAGGAGGTCATCATCTCTTACTTTCACTACAAGGTAAAGACAGATGTAAGCAATAAATTCCTGGAGAATACATTTAGCGGTAAATTCTTCCAGACAGTGTCAGCCTAAGTTATGAAATATTTTAGATTGAACACTGTATACAACTACCAAGCTGTTGTTATGATGTCAAGCTAAACCCAGCAGGACATAACATCACTCTCAGTACAGCTGCAGAGAAACTAATCCCAAGTTTTTGCTGTTGCTTTTTTTTTTTTTTTTTTCTGCTGAGGAATTGCTTTTATAGCTTAGGCATTATTTCCCTCCTACCACAACATCCAAATAAGACAGACAGCCCCATCTTTCTTCAGATGGTTCTGACCATCACTAATCAGGGATTTCTTTATCTGTCTGTCTCAACTTAAAATAAGGTTAATACAGCAGCAGTAATGACAAATCCAGGTCAAGTAAACAGGTTTGAAATAAACTGGTTTGCAACCACCTCATTCCCATGACATCTTTGATCTTTCTGGCAGGAAAGCATGATGGGAAGATGAAACAAATGGATACTAACCACGTATATGCCCTTTAAATAGTGGGGGGGAAAAAAAAAAAAAAAGGCAGTGTACATGAGCAACATTCAGATATGTAGAGGATTATACCATGATCTTATACATTAGCAAGTACAGTGTAGTTTACCAAAACTGAGCCTGGGATTTGCATGTTCGCTGTTGTTGGAGCAATCGCTTGCTCAGCAAAACCAGTGGCAGTGTTGCTAACACCAGGGCAGGGTCTTGAAAGGAAGAAGATGGCAATTGCCGCACTCTGCTCTATTACCTGTACATGGCTCAGCACCAACTCACTCAAGCTAAAGGCCTGATTTTAAATCTGATACATGCTCGGGAAAAATAAACCAAAAAACCACACAAAAAACCCCAACCAACAACTGAGCTCAGACTACAGTGGAACAAGCATAGGAGTAGCAGTAATGGAAACAAGCCTTGAAAATAATCCAAAGGATTTTAAGGTGGTAGCAAATGGGTCACAGCTTTGATTGTGCATTGGTGGTTTACATTTACTTAAAACATTATCTTCCCTAACAAAAATCCAGACATATAGAGGTCATAAGAAGGGGAAACTGCTACAGCTGACTGGTATATATTGGACTAATGCCTTTATTCTTGGAGTTCAACACATGCTTTCAAAAGATGCCAGTTTTCCACCAAGTATAGTTTTGCAGTTCTTACTTGGAGCTGCTTTCTTTGGCTTCACAGTCCCTCGTTTTGGAATCCACTGGCTGTATTTGGGATTCCGAGGTGTGGTTTTTCTAGAATAAACTTTCACTGGCTGAGGCATTTTTGGAGGTTCTTTAAAGTTGTTTTCTTTGTATTCTTGTTCCTTAGGAGCAGATGTAAAACAGATGGAGAACAGGTATGAGAACGGGAATGACTGATAGATCACATAGTTTGGATATCAGAACTTAAATGTCTTTGAAACTTTAGAATGAGAATTTGGACATATTGCACTGAATTATCCAGAAAGTCAGAATTTACCAAATGCAGGTCAGGGTTCAAATAAATGTTAAATCTCACTACTGCATAACTTTAGGTTGTAACACTACTGCAGCAGCCTATGGACTGCTTCTGCAGAGGTGGTGAAAAGGGCCAGTGCAGCCTACATTGGTATGACAGAGCTTTTCAGCTTAGGTTCTTTGCTGTTCCAGTAGTATGTAAGAAAGTAGCAAAACAACCCTTTGACATATTCTTAAAACTAGAGAACCATTCTTGCACAAACCCAACATGTAGAGTAGTTAAAAACTATGACAGTATTGGGCAGATTGCCTCCAGTGTATGGAAGCTCCAACCTCATTAACCTAGCTGTTGGGGATGTGTGTGTGTGAAGTGCCCAGCTGTGGAGAAGCTTAGGCCAGTCTGTGGAAGCTATCTACTTGCCCATTTAGCTTTAATTCTTTAAATATGAGCGTACTGAAGTTAGCACTTCACATGAAAAACATGGTGGTCGTTAACATAAAAATGTTATTCTTAATATATAGAAGTGCTAAAACTTCTAAAACTACTTGTTCCTTGGTTCTAGCTATCTCACGAAAAGGTGTCCTCCCGTTTACTACTTCAGTAGTATACAGTGCTGTAACTAGGACAGTGGAGGTTGAGGAGTTTTTGTACCCAAAAGGCACATCCACAGTCTGGACAGATAGACAAATTTAAAAAAAAACCCAAACAAACAAAACATAACCAATCACTATAGTGCACCACATACCGTATCCCTGATGACTTCTCCAAGCTCGGAAAGCCTCAGCCTCTCCCTAGCTTCATAAATTTTTAGTTCATCTTCATAAGCTTTAGCAACCATCTAGAAAATAAAAATCAGAGGACTTTTCAGAGAATATCATCAGTCCATATGACCACTTCATTAACTTGTTCAGTTTACAGATCAAAGTAGTTTCTTCCACTTTAAACTCTTTTGCAAAAGTTGGGGTTTAAATCTGTTCCTCAGCAGCCTACAGATACAACAGTACAAAATTACTAAAGCAGGCCCGATACCATCATTAAACAGGAGCATTCAGTTTTAATGCTTTTAGTATAACTGTTAGTAAGAATGACCAATAGGTCTAACTTAGAAATTACCTTTGAAATTTTTGTTCTTTCATCCCTTTCTTTTTGCAACTGGCTGTGTATTTTCCTTATTTGGCCTGTTCCTTTACTGCAAAGTTTATCTGCCAACTCAGAAAAGGGTTGATGCTGAGATGAGGGTGAGGATGGAGAAAGGGAGCGTGGCCTGCTTGGATACCTTAGATGTGGTGTGTCTGTAAAGAAAGGCAATTAATTATCTAACTTGAAACAAAAAAAAAAAACTCCAGCCAAACTTAAGGAAGAAAAGCCCCCCAAAAGCCCATACAGCAAATCTTTACATAGCATAAGATTCAAAAAGCTCAGCACAAATTAAGTCATAAAAAGCCAAAGCCTTTGCCTTCGGAATTATCCTTGCTTCAAATCACAAATTTTAAGGCTTATAGAATAGCAAAGAGATACTCGAGATGGGAAAGGAAAAAGCAGCAAAGACAACTGAAGGTAGCTCAAGATGAGAGACTGTCTCTATGCCAGGGTCACAAACAGCTCCATCTTGCAATATGATGTTGTGCACATGGATTAGATCAAGCTATATGATAGTTTCATAGCCTGGTTATTTAATCATATTGCCACCACACACACTGCACAATATGTTTGTAAGATACCTAGATGTATGTGCTGTGCTTGGCCTAGAAGAATCTGCAGTGAAGTATGTTGTGAATAGGCCCTCGATGCTATCAATGAGCTTGTGTTCTGTCCCTCCCCTCTCTTTCTGTACATTTTTTACTGCAGCTGCATTTGCCTTGTATTTTTTGTAAAGTTTTATCATAGCTACTTAAGTGTTAAATGAGAACTTAATTCTAATTCTGTTACTGTTGCTCAGGTTTGGATCTAAGACAAAATATAAACAAACTAACAATACAAAAACTAGTAACTGAGTAGCTCAGTGTATCAGCTTTACACAAGAAGGAATTTTTTTTTTTAATATTCCTTTCCATCCTAATAACTTAAGTGGCATAAGAATTGTTACCTCGCCCAGGTTTCCTTCGCCGATAATCCATGACACTGTCACTGTGCTGAGACAGGCTGTCTTCATCTGTCAACTCTTCTTCTCTGGTGTGCCCACTCAAAGCTCTCTTTAACATCTATTGGATAGATTTTTTGGGGGTCTGGTTCAGTCTTTCATTCAAAATTTAGAACTGCCTGAAGTCAGGCATTAGTTGCAGATTTTCTTTTCATCAATATTAACTTTATATTCTTGTTCTCTCTGTTATCATTACTAAGGCTAGATTGCTCAGATACAACAAAGAATAGATTTCACTTACTAAATCTAGTTCATTTAACCTGCATGAGAGTTTTTCTGACACTTTATGAAGCTCTTGCTCAGATAGCTTTTCCTTTGTTGTTCTGGGGGAAAGAGACTCTTCAAGTGAATCTGTGGTAGAATTTTCATGTCTGCTAAAACAGAAAATAGACAGATTTCATTTCTAAAAATCTGAACATAACCATTACCTCATACAATTCCAGTTCACTTTTTGCATGAGCACATGCAGTATTAAGTAGAAGCTGAATGTGTAAATGCCTATAACTACATTTGAAAAAATGCATGTATGTCAGGAGAAACAGGAAATTTTTCTGTTAAAATTAATCTTTTACTGTCGTGCAGCCAAGGATGGGGCAGGGGAGGCACCTGTGTGGCCATGTATATGAATGTGCTAGCTTGGCTCAGTACCAAAAAACTGAACTTGCCTTTTGTTTCTAGGCAGGTAACTAGATTCAGGTCTTGGAGTTTGTGGTATTTGTTCAGCACATAGTGGGACTTCCTGATGTAAAGAAAAAGCAGATGCAGGAGTCCCATATACCCAAGGAACCTAGGAAAATAAGCGTAAATTAAGAATTTATTAAGATCTTCACAGTAAAGCTCAGAAACATCACAGATCATGTGAGTAGAAAGATCCTACAACAGCTTTTATAGGACAATGATCTTAAACCTTATGATTGTGTGTGTATATATATATAGATAAAGTAGTCATATGCCCAGGTCCCTGGCTGAAGATCGTATGCTTTAGAAAATAAGATGTTTAAAGAAATAGACTAGCAAAAATATAGAAGATCAGTTCAAGAATCATCTACAGCTAAACCACTGAATCAGAAGAACAAGATCTAGGTTAGGTTACAGCAGTATACTACATACTATCTCATTAGCCTGGGACTAATGCCAAGTAATACGAGTAAGCTGAACCTCACTGAGTACAGACTAAGCTGCAATTCACAGCAAACTAAAGAAAACACTTATGTCCTTATGCCATTTAGTTTCACCGATTTATTACTGCCTGGTAACTTATTTGCTTGAACTGGAGTAACTCGAGGTTGGCATGCATATACTTGCAAATATACCAATGGAAAATGAGTTTTTAACAGAGACAATGTTTTAAACAGGCAATGTTGAAGTAAAGGCTGTTGAAACTATTGGAACAAATTAAGTCTGTGAGTACCTCTTGTGGTTGCAGAAGGCAAAAAAAATGTTTTCCAGAGCAAGGAGCTTCCTATACAGATATGTTTCTACAAGCACAGAATAGCACCTGCTGATCAATTTGTACATTTTGCATTATTCAGTTTGTGAAAAGCAAAGGAAAATTAAAGGAAATAAAATGAAAGAATACAGCCAGACAGTCCAGTGATCTTTAGGAAGGGAGCAAAATCTGTATTTTATTGGAGTCTGAACAACCCCAAAAAAAACAAAATTGTTACTAATTTACAATATTGATACACTTCAGAAAAGGGACATGACTGTAGTCTTGTGATTTATACATCTTCGATTAAACCCAAAATAACTAATAACTGATCAGTAGTGCTAAATTAGAACTCTAGGTACGGAGATTTGTACTTCGTGGAGCAAACTCCTCCAAAAAGAACTGGCATGACTTACAAACTGTACACAGTCACAGTCTTAACAACATTGTTGATTGCTGATTGTATACTGAAGAAAGCAAGCCAAGAGCAAGTTTGAAAAAAGCCCAGAAGGTGCCACAAGATATCAGAAGAATTAAGAGGAAATCCAAAAATATTGACTGATCTTCCACAAATAAGGTAAAAATGTAACATCTACCTTTGCCACATTGTCCTCGGCATCATTTGACAGCACCTTGTCTTCCCCTGCAGAAGCAGATGACAGGTAAGTGTTAGTTGATGGTATAGACTGTGACTACTAATGTGGGGAATAAGTTAAAAAAGATGGGATCCATGGCTTCTGGAACCAAATTATTCAAAGAGAACAATGACAAAGCAACTGTGGTTACACAGTTGTGATATTCATTTTGGTGATTTCTCAAGTTTTGAACGTTCAGTGTCATGGGAATGCTATGGGAACTAGAAAGGAAAGCAGTGTTTCCCAGGTAACAGAGAAAACAAGTACTGAAAACTAGCTTCTAAACCTATTCTGCAATAGCAGTTAATGGCTTTTTCCTAGAGTTGAAACTGGCTTGTCTGCTCCGTGTTTCTCTGCTCAGAATAAGCTCAGACATGGGCGTTATCTGCTAGGAGAGGTTTCTGTAGTATAGGTCCATCTTAACTAAGAAAGGAGTTGAACTGGGAACACAGATTAATTTTCTCCAGCACAGTGAACAGCTTAAAAGTGACCTATTTTTGTTTCTCTATAAAAGAGAGATAGAAATATGAACTTGTGGCTGAATTTGAAAAAAAAAAAAAAAAAAAGCACTAGTAGTTTCAAAACCATGTTTCTTGTAGTGCAAATAAAAATAAATGCAACATTTGACACAAGAGTTACCCTATAGGAAGCAAAATTCTCTCTCACCAGGGATCTTCCTTGATAGAGGAAGACTACCAGAAACATCTTCAGAGTTTTGTGTAAGTGACTTTTCAAGCTGAAATAAAAAGCAACATGTTTTCTATAAATTCACAGAAGTGTGTTGACATGAAGGTCATAATAGGTTTGTCTGCATATGGAAATCTATGCTGATTTTATAGATAAAAAAATACACTATAATTATTTTGTTTACTACTGTGCAGTTACATTGATTATGGAGATGCATATGTATATATGCATAATATACATATCTGTATAATGTATAAAAACACCCCTCAAATTAACTTCCTCTCTGGACACTGAGTGAAGAATGAATCCAAAATTCTTTAATTGAAGATAAAATCTGACACATTCAGAAGTGTTCTTCAGAGACCAACTACTCCCATTCTGCAAGTATACTAGAAGGCTTTAAAATGAAAACAGAATTAATTGCTAATAAAATAATCTAATAGTAGCTTTTTACTTACTATAGGAATTTTCACTCCTTGACTGCTAGCCAAAGCAGCTGACTGGCTAGTTGAGCTCTGATAATCTCTCCATCCAGGATAGTAAGGTCTGGCTTCTGAAGGCTGAAATGGTGGTAGCAAAGGAATAGCTTGCTGTATAGGCTCCCCAAGTTTTGTAGCACTGGCACTCAAACTCTCTTTTTGAGGTTCAGTAGTATGAACAGACTCCACTGATCCTTAAGAAACATATATGAAGAACTTGAAGTTTAAGTATTATCTGCAAAAGCAGAATGTTAGGTTTTTATATATTCTCTATACATATTAGATGGAAGTATCTAAGTATTTAATGTTAACTACCATCTTTGTTAGATTGCATGGATCAGTACTGTAACATTTTTCTGTGTTACAATGTTATTTTTCTTCTGTTTAGAGATACATACCGCGGCCCCTCCCTCTCTCACTGCTTTTCTAAGACCACAAAGTTTTTCATGACTGTATATATGTATATACTGCTCTCATACTGCAAGGCTGTGGCTATGTACATACACTGTAAATAGCTTTTGATTTGCTGCTGTTTTCCCCACAGTCGTTTTAGATACATGCGGGGGAATGCCTGCTCATGTGCAGGATCTGTAAGCAACAGCCAGAGTCAGCAGAGGCCAGGGACAACTGGGTAAGATGGCTGCTGTCTGTCACAATGTTTCACCCAATACACAAGCGATCCATAACTGTCCTTAAGAACAGCATGAAAATCCCCTTAAGAACATGATTTTGGACGCTAGAATCATCCACAAAGACTTTTTAACTTATAGCATTTTGCTTATTGAGTGACACAAGGAGAAAACCTAGCTAAGCAGAAATAACCCAGATAATGGAGTTTGCATACTCTGGGACACTAAAATATAAAACTTGTGAAAATTATTTATTTCACAATATAGCTAGAGTGTTTCCATCCATGACTAAGGTTCTCCTCTACACTACATTAGTACCCTACTCCCCTTAGTCAGTATCAGGTAGATAAGATATCAGAAAAATTAATACTTACCGTCTTCCTTTTCCTTTACAGTGGCGCTTTCAGTTTTAGGGAATTGTCTAAGTAATGTTGCAACAGCCTCTAAGTTTTTCAAACCTTCCACCCCTTTGTCCTTCTCTGCTGGTAACAATTTAGGCAACTGGAATTCTAGAAGTGGTGTTTGGAAAAGATTAAATTAAGAACTAGAAAACTTCTTGCTATGAACTGTTTAGATGGACAATTTTCATGTTTGGCATGTTAATAACTTGGCATTAGAAGTCTGCACTATGATCAAAATAGGTTTGTTAAATTCCTACTTATTCTATTAAATAGAAATCTCATAATTCATAATACTTCTTTATGCCTCTGCTTGGAGAGATTCATCACCAATAAGAACAGGAACACTCTTACAGGAAAATAGGAAATACGAATGGACTCAATTTAAGTAGTCTGCATGTTATTTGTTCCAGAGCCACGTTTTCAAGTGGCATGAACTCCTAACAAGCCATCTTTAAGAATTAACTTACTAGTCTTTTTACAGTCTTAAATAATATATTTCACACTGCAATAAATGAAAGAAATTAAAGGCTTCAGAAATCTCTTATTCTGCTGAAGAAAATAAAATTCCTTCGTAAGAAGAACCGAATTAGAAGTCAAACAACAAACAGTTATCCAGATAACATAGCTCAGGAGTCACAAAAAACAGTGTCTAGAATACTTAAAGAAATCTACATTTTCACTTCAGCAAGATCAACTACAGGTATGTTTACTTGTTGGGGTTTTTTTGTAAAATAAGAGTTTAAAACAAAGTATATGTCTGCAAAATAGCTTTTAAAAAAAGAAACAACAAAAAAGTCTAGAAATCTTACTACAAGGTATCTTTTTTTTTTTTTTCACACAAACTCACCTTCTTCTCTCTTGGAAAATGAATGAGCAGTATCCCCAAGTCTAATTAATTCACTGGTAGATTCTGATCCATCTACATCACAAGATGGAACAAAAAATTCTGACTGGGACCTAAGAGGAACATAAAGCTGTAAAATATTTATTCTAAAAGTCTTTGCCTCTACAGTCCACAAGATGGAGCCGCAGAAGAGTAGCTACTCTACTTCAGGTAGCTGGCTATTACAGCGTGGGACATAAGAGACCAGGTTCTACAAACCAAATCAATGTAGAAGTCATGAAGATAAATCATATGCAGTTTAACTAAAATACAATCATTACAGAGACAATGATTTCAACTTGTTTTATTCCACATGCAAAGTAAACTTAAGGGAAACAAAACTCCATCAGTACTCTTCCAGAGAAAAAAGATTCTGTAGCTAATTTCTAATTTCTAGAAATTTTGGATCTAACTAAAGGAGAAAGTTACCTTACATTCCATTTGACTTATGTAATTAGTATGTTTCCTACTTGCATACTATAAAAAACCTACTGGTTTCTCTACAGATACATAAAAAGATAGTCAATCACTATGACAATACAAATATTCAGAATTGTTCTTACCCTTCACCAGATGAGAATATTGAAGGTTGCTTAAGTTGACCAGCATTGCTTTCCAGCTGCTCTTGAGACACAATTTGAATTTCATTATTGGATAGCACATTTGCCTCATCTGTTAATAACCAAGGGGCAATTATTCCCAGGAAAAGTACTTCTACCTATTAACTAATAGGTATTATTGCCAATGTAATCAAAACAGTTTAATAAAACATAATGACGATATCTAAAATGATGACATGCAATGTCCCGCTGGGAGGGAGGCACAACTTTTATGGTAAGTTTTTAAGTGCAATACAACTACCATATACCCTATTGTTTCAACTGTAAATAAGGCCTTTCTTCCTCAAAATAATTAAATTCTGTTTGTACAACTAGAAAAATGGAGCCACTAACACCTGTTGGGTAGCAGCACTGGCAGCCTGAGAGAAGGGAAAAGCAGAAGTACAAGCACTGAAAAGTGCTACTGCCCTCCTGCCATTCACAGTGAAACAGGACAGCAGGCAACAGTCTTGGCCATCAAGTGCTCTTCCCTCTACTCACGGGCTGCAACAGCCAGCCATGAGAGCTCTTAGCTTTAAGATAGGAAGGACCAGTACTCAGTCTGCAGTAACCACAATGCCTCTGAAGGCCTGAGTAGTTTCTCTAACCCTGTTTAGCATTTTCCTCAAAACAGCCCCTGCTGTGGATCTGCTCCCAAGACCTACTTCACAGGAAAACTTAAATCATCCCTCTATTTGCCTCCCAGTAAGTAAAAGGGACATTTGCTCGTTAATCCAATTAAAGTCAACATTTCTGTCCCTGAATCCTAACCATAAATCATTTGACTTATAAGTTGAAAAGCAACATACTAACAGAGGATGAATTGTCTGGAGTAGGTTTCTGCCACAAGAATGAAGCAGAAAGATTATGTTCTCCAAGTCTTGCCTTTTAACAAATTTTGGGGAGAATAAATTGTTTTATCATGATTGTTTATGAAAATAAGGAATGTAAATAATCAGTTTAGCCACCGAAATTTCCTCGCCCCATGGTCAGTTTCAGTCTCTCCTGTTCTGCATTGTCAAGGTTGTAAATAAGGCAAGCACACCAAATCAATCTTTGCTACATTGGAAACACCTTGGGTATTCCAAAACAAGGTTTCACAAAGCTTACATCTTCCAATTGATATCATTCCCTATAGCTGCTATTGAGGAGAAGGAGCAAAGAAACAGTTTTCACCTATTATGGGAGCTGTATTCCAACCATGAACACCAAGAACTATCGTCATGAGAACCTAAGCCCTCAGCAAACTAACTTGATAGCAGACAAACAGAAGCAGCAAGCTGTCCATAATACAGTAGTAGCAGAACATAATACCTTAGACTAGGACATCTGTCTACTCACCTCCATTCTGAGAAGAAAATTCACTGACTTCTTCTGTAAGATACTCTAACAAACCATCAAATATTTCAAGGAGGTTTCTGATAGATTCCCTTTCTCCTTTCACAATGTTCTCACCTTAAGAGAAGGTACTGCCACATATTAATAATTAGTACTTCACAGAAAAAAAAAATCTCAAAAGCAGGAGTTTTCTGGAGAAGAGTGCTTAGAAATTCTTGTGAAAGCATCAGTTTAGAAGACAACTGGTCACTCATTTATGGCTATGTATGTAAGCTTAAGGTATCTTAAAAGTTTCCTAGAGCTGCATATTTTCAGTTTTAATAGGTAAAAAAAATAGGTAAAAAAAAATAAAAAATAAAACCAGGGATATATCCAGGGATAGTTGGTATTCAGTATTTTCTTACACATACTAGCTACAGCATGAACCAAGTCTATGGACTGGCAGGCAGGATTACAAATATCAGCCATACTGCACAGGTACCAAATTAGAAAGTAATACTTTGTATCAAGAAAATGGTTGTCATTCTTTGCAGGCTATGTTATGCAAGACTATACATATGAAAACTCAATGAAAGCTTTTATCTATGTACAAAGGGCAGACACAACATGGTTCAAGTCTTTACTCACCAAGTTTTTAAAATTCAATAACAAGTCTGAAATTCAAGGTTCATGTTTTACAACCCAGTCTCCATGCTTTAACTGTACACAGAAAAATACCGAGCCAGTAACAGACTTCAGGTAACACTTTAGCAGACAAGTGAAGTATGATTGATTGTTAACTCTAACTTCTTACAGGTCTGTGTCATACAAGACAGCTCTTATTCTCTACTTGCTGTTTAAATTTATAACCTAATGTCCAATGCCAGGGTTCAGTGTTTTGATGACACTTGCTATAAGAAAAAGATCTTTCATGTAAGTATGAAAGTATGCTTTATAACATATGGTTATTATCAAATGTTCAAATCAAACCACACAGATATTCAGCTGATGTTGGTCTACATTAAAATGAGTACTTACCAGTGATGTGCGACAAGCTGACCTGCAAGTAGTCCAATGCCAGGGAATCTATTACTGCTTGCACATTATGTGCATCATCCTCTTGGCTTCTAGGAGTAGCTATGAAATCTATTTAAAATAATAATAGAATTTAGGCTATCTGCATGGATAGCTTATTGCAGATGTTTTGACTAAACTCCTTTATGGTAAACTACTTTGCATATTACTACGCAATAATTTGCCATAAAGCAAACAAATACATAATTATACAGCCCTTGGTTAACTGTTGTCACTGAAGTCAAATGGAGTTGGGTTAAACCAGGGTTAAATCACAGCTTAGCTCTTAGCAGACTATACCTAGTAAACAGTTTATAAGAACAGGCTTCAGTATGAACACTTCTTTAAGAGAAATGAGCCAATTCACACTCTTCAAAGGTATTATGCATATGTATGGATTTCAAGGCCTAATTTACAGTAGAAAAAGTTTTGCTGTAGGTATACTGTTCATAGAAGTCAAAAAAAAAAAAAAGTCCAATATTACTTAAATCTTTCTTAAAGAATGACAATCTTATGTGTTTGCCTTTGGAAGGACATAAATACTTTTAAAACCCTACATCTGTAGTAAGTTTTGCAAACTTGAATTTGTTCATTACAATATACAGAGACAAAAAAATAAAAGCAAAGCAGGTTTAGAAATTATCATTCTCACCTGGTACTTTTTCTCCTAAGATTGACTCATAAAGATGAACAAACACATCAGCACCACATTCTGAGAGATGCTTTATGTGCTGGTTTATGTGACAGTTCCTTAAGAGATCATTGGCAACATCAACCCAATCTATTAAGAAGTAAAACATATTAATGTCAGAACTGAAAGACACAGAAAGAAAGACATCGTTTACAGTGAAAGATGGAACTCATTTAAGTGTCTTTGACCCCACCATAGGTTGTCAATCCCAGTCATCCTATCCCAATCATCCAAAATATTGAACATGTATGCTTTCTACTGCATGCCCCATTTCTTTCACATAGAATAATTTAGGTTGGAAAATACCTTTAAGATCATTGAGTCCAATTGTAAATCTAACACTTTCAAGTCCCACTAAACCATGCCCCTAAGCACCACATCTACTCATCTTCTAAACACCTCCAGGGATGGTGACTCAACCACTTCCCTGGGCAGCCTGTCCCAACGCTTGACAACCCTTCCAGTCAAGAAGCTTTTAATATCCAATCTAAACCTCCCCTGGTGCAATTTGAGGCCATTTCCTCTCATCATATCACTTGGGAAAAGAGACTGACACCCGCCTCGATACAATCTCCTTTCAGGAAACCTTTCCTTTCCGATGGAAGCATGGACAGAGAGTGAGGAATGATACGTGCCAAGATCCTGTTCAAGTACACAGTCACAGTACAACTGGACTTGAGAGCTGAAAGGTACCGAAGTACCACAGGCTGGGCAGATTACTACTGTGTTTTGTTTGGGTTTTTTTCCACATAATGGAAAGCAAATTTTGGTCTGGCTGCATAGCCAGGAATTCCAAACCTTGAAGGACTTAACAAAATAAGCTTTGATACATCTTTAATCAAGAATCAGAAATTACATACAGTCTTTTGAAAACATGAACTTCACTCTTACAAACCCAGTTTCTCTAATAGTCTTATGCAATGACAACACTGCTAATATAAGTATATTCAAGGACTACTTTTATTAGTTTGCTGTTTAAGGATTATAAGAATATGGAGCTGGTCCTACAAACTTCATGCTATGCTGAGCACAATGAGCATAAACAGTCTGATTTTCCCAAAACTTTGTGTCCTGAATTCAAAGTGCTTTCAAGTACACGTATCCTTGTCTTGTCACCCAGTTCAAATATCAGTATGGAAGAACAAGTCTTCATCTCTGTTAGTCTGATCTCTTAAGGTTGAATTTTTCCCCTACGTGATTTGCAAACAGTATTTTAAGAAGTATCATCAAGGACTTAAAATTTCTAGAGAAGGGATAAGTAATCTTTGAAAAGGAAAAAAGTATACAATTACTACAAAAGAAACTAATTAGTAGTTTTTACTGTTCTGTACACAGGCTGTATTAGTTTTCCATCACTCTACTCAGTTCAAGAAATCACATTACCCTAACATCTTAATTTCAGGTACATGAAAGGTTATAGTAGCATCTCCTACATTTCTGCCTGATACTTCCTAGAAAGTTTCAGTTAGTGTTCATCTCCAGCTTTATCAAGTTAAAAGTGTCACTGGGGAATGGGGGAGGGGAGGTTAATGTGAAGAGCTTAAAAAGCCACGGTACAGAGAGGTTAGCTTTAAGGAAAAGCACGCCTGAATAAAATGGATGGTGACAGCGATGAGAGCAGCGGGTGGATGGCGAGGTCGAGGGGGGATTCAAGACAGCTCTCCACTTTGCCCGCCCCAGCCCTGCAGGGCACGGAGCCCGGCTGCTCCTGCGGGACTCGCCCCCGCCCCAACAGCCCACAGGACGGCGCAGACGCGCCACGATCGCCCAGCGACGAGCGGGCAGGGCACGGTGAGGCCACTGATATTCCCAGGGGCGAGGCGCCCACAGTACCGAGCCGGGGATCGCCTCAGGAGCCGGCAGCCCGGCCCTACCTCTCTCCTCAGCGCTGCCCATGGCGCCGCGCACCAACGGACGGCAAGGGACGCCCCGCCCTGTGGGCTTCATCGCAGCGTCCGCCGCGCTGATTGGGCAGGCGGAGCCGGAAGGGGCGGGTCTCATCAGGCACACCCCGGTGTCCCTGAGGCGGGTTGTGGACGAGCTGGTCGTCATGGAAACGGGTGGGGTGGCGGGAAGGGCGGCGTGAAATGGCGGCGAGGTAAACCGCTGGCTGTAAAGCAGCGCCGGAGGGGGTTGTGTGGCGTGGTTCCGCCCTCGTCACCCTAAAAGAGAGACGGTTGTACTAGTTTCATAAGCAAAGTTGGGTGGGGAGAGGGCTGGCCTCTGGCGGTGGAAAGTTCTAGCACTTGACCTTGCAGGCCCGCCTTGAGGGTGTTTGTAGGCTGAGATGGTGTTTACATTAATAGGGTTGTACAGCTGGAGAGCTCGCGTTAAGCCAGCAGGTGATGCAGGTTTGCTTGGGACAATACAGGGCAATATAGTGGTAAAACCTTTATAAAAAGTAAAATTTAGGAGATTTTGTCTCGTGAAACTTACTGTATTATTAGCTGCTAGCATACAAGCTTTTGGAGACAGCGGATGGTGAAAGCACTATCTTACTGAGCAACAGTATTCCATGCTCCTTAGGAATTCTGGAATTTCCGTATTGCATCGAGTCATGCAAAACTAAAAATTATGGTGTCCCCTAAACTCCTGGATCATGACAGAAGTAGCTGAGATCCCAATTATGACTAAGAACCATCATCGGCAGCAAGTAAACAGTGAGAATGTTAACTCTTAACAGTCTACAGACTTAATTTGTAGATCTATAATACAAATGCACGTACCACTTCAATAAATACAAAAGAGCTTACGTGCATATAAGCAAATGCATATCAATACCATTGAAATTAATACTAGAACATGGATTTCGGTTTGATAGCTATGCAGCTCCGTAAAGCTGTGTTGATTCACTTTGCGCATGTTGGCTCCAAGCAAGCAAACACAAGAAAATCAATTTTGTTTAACTTAAAGGGGTGGAACACAAAAATGAGGAAGTTGTTTTCAAAGAGGAAATCAAAAGGAGTTACTTGCAGACTAAATGCATGCAGGCGAGGCAGGTTTGTGTTTAGTCTTTTCAATTCTTAGAAAGGTTAAACAGCACAGTATCAGGAACCACTAAATTCTATACAAACAAAAAAAATCAAAATAAACTATGTTAGGCTAAATGTAATAGGCAAGAACAAAAAAAGATCACACAATTTGCTATTTTTACAGCCTTTGCAAAAACCTTTTTCAGACTCATCAGAAGCAGGAACCCTATAGGGGCAGCAGGTTTAGTGTTAGAAGGAGTATTTTGGAAGAAAAATCTTTAACAAGCTATATTAAATCAGTAACTCCTACTGAAAAAAAAATTGGGAGGATCCCCCATTGGGAATTTGCAGGCTATTTGCAGGATTAAGGAACCTAGTCAAATTGAAGTGCTACTAAAATAACAAAATAATAAGAAAAAGTGATTGATCAAGGTGGTATTCCAAATTGCTGAAGGGGAAACAGCTGTGGCTATTCATAAATAAAGCTAAGCCTAATTTAAGTGTTACTTTTGAGGAAGATATCATGGAAACATCTAGTACTATTATTTGAAAACCTTGTTCCATTTGTAGCAACAATCAAAAGGAGAAAAAAATAAATAATACACAACAGATTGAAAACATCTTTATGCCTTCATTATGTAAATCTGTACAGGGTCCAGATGTTTAATATTGTGCATTTCTAATCAATGAAAATGTCAAGGATAATCAGTAGTGGGAATTTGCTTTTAAAGGACAAATAATTTGATAGACTTCAGCCTGGTTTACAAAGGAGGTGACTTAGAAGATATGAATGTCTGCAAAGGGTATAAGTAAATAGAAAAATATTACCATTTCTAATAGCTCATTTTGTGCCCCTTGTTCTTACCAAGCGATGTGTTGAAAATGAAAGGAAATGTTTTCAAGGTAGCATACAATTAAACTGTGAAACACATTGGCATGGTATCTTAGCTTCTAAGAGCATAAATAGAACAAATATGGGAAGAAATGGCCATCAAATACAGTTATTTTTGTCTCAGAAAAGCCTTGAAGCACAGATCGCTAGAAGGTGGGAGGATATAAACGGGGAGTGGTGTTATGGTGCTTCTCCTTCCTTATGTTGTTTTCATTTGCATTCGCCACTGAATGAAACAGGTGGTCTGGCAATATGGCTGCTTGTATTTATGCTTCAAGCTTCACCTTTTCTTTTGTGTGCTTAAAGCCTCAGGTAGCAAGACATTAAAGTTCTTCCTCAGGCTAGCAAAGCAGGGCAGATATGCAACACAGTACCCACTTCAGCTACTTGGTGTTTATTATACATGTGCTTTCTCAACAGCCCTGTCCTTCAGTGCACTTCTGCACTTCTTGTGACCTTTGAATTGCTTTACTAGCCCTGTTGTGGAATTTGAAAAGATAAAAATAGTAACTGTTTCCAATCACATGTATTTAATATTTATAAAGGGCAATGGGTAACAGCCTAAAAGCACTGTTCTAAGTAGGATTTAATAATCTGCTATCGTGTCCAACCTGTTGTCATCATGAGGATCTGCACATCTGACTCCTTCAGCCCCTTGAAAACCCCAGGTGGGTGTATGGCTTCGTCTACCATTCCTCCAGGTATCAGTTACTAGTTAAAACGTGGCAACACTTGAGCCTGGGTTTTATCTGTTGGAGCGCCTACCAGAGGCTTTCTGCCAACAGTTTAGCGACACATATCTCTGAGGCTTTGAGGTCGGGAAACTTCCCTGTAGGCAGCTCCACCAGCTGCACTCCAGCCAGGCCCAGACCGGAACACGCTACCTCACCGCTGCTCCTCCGCGCCCGCTAGGAACCGAGCGACTCTCTGGATAAAGCGGGAGGCTGTGATGCTGTAGTTAAGAAGGGCTGGGAGGGAGGAAACCGCCGTTCTCGTCGGGCCAAGGCGCGTTCGCGGCCTCAGCCAGAGGACGAGGCGGTGCCGCGGCCTGCCCACGGCTGGGCGCATGCGCGACCGCTCGCGTCCTGCCCGGCGGGGGGGGCGGGGGGGGCGGGGGGCTGAGAGAGGGGGCGGGGCGTTGCCAGCAGTGACGGCAGCGGAGGCCACGCCCCAAGGAGGAGGGGAACTTCCGGCCGCGAGCGCAGAAGCCGGTCAGTCGGCCGAACTGTGGCCACGCCCACGCGGGAGGGGGCGGGGACTCGGGCCAGCTCGGGCCGCTTACATAACAGAAGGGGCGGATTCTGCGCCTGCGTCACTAGCCGGTTCCCAGCAGCCCCCGCGGTCCCCCTATATAACCGGCATCCGGGCAGAGAGGCGCTCTACATTCAGTGGCCCCCACCAGCGGCGTCGCATCCTGCCTTACCGTTCGCCACCCACTTTAAGTGACCGGGATCGTCTCGCCCACCGCCACCATCACCATGCCCGGGTATTCCAGCGACAGGGATAGAGGGTGAGTCCGGGGGCCCGGCCGGCGCTAGCCGCCGCCAGCGTCCGGACTCTTAGACCGGCTGTGGGGTTCCGGTGGTTGTTTTTCAGCCGTCTAAAATGGCGGCGAGTCGCGGGGGTTGGGCCTCGTAGCCCTTCGCCTCGGCTCTTGCTATCTCGAGGTCTCCGGAGCTTCGCGAGGGGAGGCCGGGTGAGGGGAAGAGGCTGTAAGAGTCCTTATCGCCGGCGAGGGCGGCCGCTGTGCGGGGGCGGCCGCACGATCCGGGCAGGGGCTGCGTCCATCCGCCTTACCGCTGCCCCCGCCTGTGTGTGGCAGTTTACGAGGGGCGCGGGTGTTCTTTTTTTTTTATTTATTTTGTTTGGTTTTTTTTTTTTTTTTCCTGTGGGGAAAAGGGAGTCTCTCTCTCCCCCCCTTCTCTGGGGACGTACCCCCGCCGAGTACGGATGGCCCACGCAGAGCCCGATTTTCCCTTCTGCCCCCGTCACTGGGGGTGGGCTGGGGAGCGGCGGGCTGGCTGGAGGTTTGTGGGTCAGTGGGTTGGCCGGGCGCTTCGTCGATGCCGAAGCCTTGGGGAGCTCTCGGTAGGGCGGTTCCCTTTTCCTCCCTTCCCCCTCAGAAGCGACGGCGGCTCTAGCCGCTGCTGGCAGAAGCCGGCCGGCTCCCGCTTTGTGTTGTGTAAGCGGATGTTAATGGCCGGCCCCGCCATGCGGTGACTGAGGGGAAATCAAAATGCCGGCTGCTGCTGCCTTTGTTCCTCCTCCTCCTCCCCCCGCCCAGCTCAGACTCTAAAATGGCAGCGGCTGGAAAATGTGGCGTAGACAGAAATGAGAGACAAAGGAAACAGCGCTGGCAGGAAGCAGCGGCCACTCAGCCAGGTCCCCTCTGGGAGCGCTGTGTTGTGCGGGGAAGGATCGTTCCCAGCGCCTGCCCGGCCAAAACTGGGGGGCAATTGGGGTGGGGGAGGGAGCCCCGCGCTCGGATCCAGTTTAGCAATCCTCAGCGCAGGGCTTAGCGTTGCTTCGAGCTGCGCTTCGGGGCTGCCAGGGCAGGCTTTTGAGATGAGTCTATTCTGAATGGAGGGACTGAACTCAAAATGCTAACATAAAACGCATGGCCTTGTAAAACATGGTTATTGAGAACAGTATCAAGATACAAGAAAACGGTTTATGGGAAAGTTACCCCAAGATTTCACAACTGCCCCTGCCCACTTTCTACAGGCTGACATGTGATGGGAGTGTCACTGGGAAACCATTTTGATCATGGGGTAATACAAAGGTTTTAATGTCCTTTTCCTATGTTGTAACTTGCTCATAGGCCTTTCAGTTTAATTTTAAGGAAACCACAGAGGTATATGTTCCTTAGCTTCTGAATATGAATTGTGGCTGGGCAGATTGTGGCATCTGGAACTTAAATATGTTTTTTGAGGTTTCAGTATCTTGCAGGTGGGTTTTAAAAATCTGAATCGTACAGGATGGACTACAGAGATGATAGTTAAGTTGTATAAGAGCAGCACCAAAACATTTCTCTTGGATTATATCTTAATCATCTTCTCTAGGTTTGGAGCCCCCCGTTTTGGAGGAAGTAGAGGTGGACCCCTTTCTGGGAAGAAATTTGGAAATCCTGGGGAAAAACTTACAAAAAAGAAATGGAACTTAGATGAGCTGCCCAAATTTGAGAAGAATTTTTATCAAGAACATCCTGATGTAGTTAGGCGTACTGTGGTATGTACCCTGTCTAACTCATGCAAAAGTAAACAAATAAGTGCAAACATGCTGAGGGTCATGGGGCCCAACAGGAATGGATGGGATAATTTAAAAGATAACTTTGGTATCAAAGCTTACTTCGGAAAATGTTTTGTTTTTTTTTTTTTTTATCTTGCAGCAAGAAGTTGAACAGTACAGATCAAGCAAAGAAGTCACAGTTAGGGGCCATAATTGTCCAAAACCGATTATAAACTTCTATGAAGCTAACTTTCCTGGTAAGTGAAGACTAGCATACTGGTCATTATTCTAGACTCGATTAAGACAAAGTCTTAACAAGTTTCAATTTCCTCTCCAAGCAAATGTTATGGAAGTAATTCAGAGGCAGAACTTCACTGAACCAACTGCTATTCAGGCACAAGGTTGGCCTGTTGCATTGAGTGGATTGGATATGGTTGGAGTGGCACAGACTGGATCAGGGAAAACGCTGTCTGTAAGTTTTGATTGTAGCCTGGAATACTGCTGGATTTCAGCAGTGAAAGTATGGCCTGGCTTAGTACAGGCTGAATGCTTCTGGGAAGAGACTGTAATGAGACTTTTCTTTCTTCCAAACAGTACTTGTTGCCTGCTATTGTGCATATAAATCATCAGCCATTCCTCGAGCGAGGAGATGGACCTATTGTGAGTATTCCTAAATGAAAAGGGATCTTAATTTCTAGAGAATGTGATTTTTTTTTTTTAACAGTCTAACTGTCCATAAGAGCACATAGCTGTATCGTGTTTCTCTGTATGACAAAGAGTTCGATGTTTTGGTATTCTCCAGAGAATATTCTATAAGGTCTGATTGGATTTTCTTTAAAATTGTACAGAACAGGGCTAGGTGCCCCATTTTGGAAATTGCTCTCCTCTGGAAGCTAGTGACTTTCAGTTACGTTACCACACAGCATAAGTCAACGTTTGGTAGTTGAGAATCTAGGTAACTTAGTTTCCTGGTTTGGGCTACTTTAATCCACTGTAGTCGTTCTGGCACTGAAGGAATATATCACTACCTTTCCATTTAAAACTAGTGTTAGACTAGAGGCTTCAAATAGGTATTGAACTAAAAAGTTGGGCATCTTATTTCTAGTGTCTTGTGCTGGCACCAACTCGTGAACTGGCTCAACAAGTGCAGCAGGTAGCTGCTGAATATAGCAGAGCATGCCGTTTGAAGTCTACATGTATTTATGGAGGTGCTCCAAAGGGACCACAGATTCGTGACTTAGAAAGAGGTATGGATAAGCCTTGATGCATCTCTGCATGAGGCAATGTGGAGGCTTGTTCAGCTGACTGTACTCCTTGGTTTTTAGGTGTGGAAATCTGCATTGCAACACCTGGAAGACTTATAGACTTCTTAGAAGCTGGAAAGACCAATCTCAGGAGGTGTACTTACCTTGTCCTTGATGAAGCTGACAGGATGCTTGACATGGGATTTGAACCTCAGATCCGAAAAATTGTGGATCAGATAAGAGTGAGTGTAAACAGTTCATGCATTTGTCACTGTTGAAGAAACAAAATGCTGCTATGCTCATGAAATCAAGGGCAGTGCAATTAACTTTCTCAGGCTTGACTCTTGTACTGACCTAGTCTCTTCCTCCAGCCTGACAGGCAGACTCTTATGTGGAGTGCCACATGGCCAAAAGAAGTAAGGCAGCTGGCTGAAGACTTTCTGAAAGAATACGTACACATCAACATTGGTGCATTAGAACTAAGTGCAAACCACAACATTCTTCAGATTGTGGATGTGTGTCATGATGTAGAGAAAGATGACAAGTAAGTAGTCAGTAGGGGCAAAGCATTCAATATGTTTTTAGGAACTGTCGGATTAATTTGTTGGAATGGATTTTTGACAACAGTTATAAGTAAACTTGTGTGGTACAGATCAGTTCCAGCTCTAACCATAATGTCTTCACAATAGGCTTATTCGTTTGATGGAAGAAATAATGAGTGAGAAGGAAAATAAAACAATTGTTTTTGTGGAAACCAAAAGACGGTGCGATGATCTTACCAGGAAAATGAGGAGAGATGGGTGAGTCCAATAGCTGAAACTTCAGGGAGCCACCCCAATAGTCTGAGCATGCTCATGATTATTCATGAGTATCCACTTAAAAGTCAAATACAGTGACACAAGGTGTCAGTTAAGATGCTAAAATTAAATCTAGAAGCATTCTGGAATTTGCCAGTTGCACTATCTTTCAATGAAACTACTCAATGGTCTGAGGTCAATCAAGTCTTGTATTTTCAGGTGGCCAGCAATGGGTATTCATGGAGATAAAAGTCAGCAGGAGAGGGACTGGGTTCTAAATGGTGAGTATTTTGGCCATATCTACAATCATATGATCTCTTACTTCATGAAGAAGCTGATGAATTGTTTCTGTTACAGAATTCAAACACGGAAAAGCACCAATCCTGATTGCTACAGATGTTGCATCCAGAGGTCTAGGTTAGTACAACTCGTAATGCCAGTTGCCCAAAGCTATTTAAAGAAAGTCTATTGCTTTCTTTAACCTCTGCATTTTTCTAAGTTTTCTTCACATAAA